CTAGTAGCGATGCACTTGTTTCTACTAGCGTCCTTGTTACTACTAGTTCAAAGAGTTTGTTCCTAATAGCATGATGCAGCAGCAGCGCTTTCCGAACTTAGCAACGGCCTCCAACCTACTAGCAATGGCCTCTAACCTAATGACAATGGCCTCTAACCTACTAGCAATGGCCTCCACTCTGAGAGCGATGGCCTCCAGCCTACTAGCGATGGGTTCCAACCTAATAGCAATTGCCTCCAACAAATATAAACAGTCAACACCATCCAAATCCCAGTCTTAGCAAGCTCATATTGCGAAAAGCGCGGAAACCTGGATTCCTCATGATACCTCTCAGCAGAGCCAAACCTTCCTGTTTTACCACAGAAGTTCTGGACAAACTTCTTCAGGATCTTGAGAAATGTAGAGCATACCTAACCCCGCTCAGTGTTACTCAGTGTAACAGGTGGTCTATCCCACTCTCCCCTCGCAGACTGATCTTGCGACCTGCAGGCGTAGAGCTGAACGCACGCAACCGGCGCACTGGCGCCTGTCATGGTAGATGTGCCCAACAGAAAGAAGGTACTAAAGGTACTGGTTCTATGGTTGTTTTTGTTGCACCTTAGTGCTTTGCAGGTGTACGCTGGAGGATGTTCATGATGTCGTGTGGCCAAGAATCTGAGCAATGGTTCTAATGATGTGAATCTGTGACTCGACGTCACTGGCAAATGAACATGCAGCAGCTCAAGTGCTTTAGCCAAAATTATGTCCCAGGCCCAACTCTTCACAAAAAACCTTTCATTGTTGTCCGCCTCAAAAGATTGGACTTGGGCCCCCAACATCCATCTGAATCTCCCAATGCCCGACAACGCCACTCTGAAACACGCCTGTGTCCTTTTCAGCCAGTTCCAGCGCTGCGACCAGGAGCGCTGACGGAAGGAGCGGAGCACGCCTGGAGCTCCAGAAGTCTCAAAGGCCTCCAACTTACTAGCGGTGGACCCCACCCTAAGAGCGATGGCCTCCGACCTACTAGCAATGGCCTCCGCCCTACTAGCGATGGCCTCCGCCCTAATATCGATGGCCTCCAAACTACTAGCAATGGCCTTTACCCTACTAGCGATGGCCTCCGACCTAATAATAGCGATGGCCTCCACTCTAATAGCAATGGTCTCGAACCTAAGAAAGCCAGAAGTACCAAAGAAAAGCTTGACAATTTCCGGAGAGGAACATGAGAAACTTGGGTGCTTTGGGTGATGTGGCCCATGGGAATTGTGAATGATGGCTTGAGCCACAGAAATAGACACAATAAATGCCAGGTGCTGATTGGGTCTTCGCCGAGAATACTGTTCCAAAATACTAATGTCATGTGTTGAAAGTTGCTAAGTACCTTCACATAGACCACTTGCAAGCATGACGTGTCTTTGATAAACCCCCATCAAAATAGCTGTAGAATGTTATTATAGAGACATAAGGATATTTTGCAAGAGCACTTTGAGTCCCGCTATGCCGTCAGTACTGACCGGGCGGTGAAGCTTTCCCGCTCATATCCATTCATTGCATACTTTCACAGGATCTCACAGGCTTTCATCCCCAAAACATTCCCAAAACGACCATGGCACCTTCACCCGCTTCCGGCAAAGGCCCGGCACGCACGTCCTGCCATGGATAATTGGCTCATGGAAGCTGAACTGGCCCAAGACTGAGGTTATGGAATGATTCGCAGAACCGGGATCAGCATCAGCTTTTACCGGGATCACAAGGGTTCCAATCTGCTACATGGTATCGACCTGATCAGCTTGGTGCTCGGTCGAGGAAAGTCGGCTCAGCCTCTTCCAACTCTGAAAGCAGGAAGACACCTGCTTCGAGTTTTGAGCTTCCCTCCACAGTTGTAGTTGCGGTTGAAATAGTAGCAGTATATGTAGCAGTAGTAGGAGCCGACCTACGAGTAGTGGTTATCATTGTCGTGGCCGTGGTCTGTTGCTTCTGAGTAAGCCCTTCACCAGGAAGCGAGCGTTTGCTCACCTCTGAGGAGAAAATTTCGAGGATCTGACAGTTGCCATCAACGCACTTGTTCAGCACGTTGCTTCCAACCCGCTACAGTAGACCTTCAACTATCTCTCCATCACGCCGGCTCTCTGCACAACTCTCTTGTGCCCAAGCGGGCCCACACAAACGCGATCTTGATGTCGCATGGTCTAGTCTTATGAATTGGGAGTTGCCGGAGTGCTCAATGTCTCTACAATCCACGTATCTCCAAACATTCTTAAGTTTCCCTAAAAATCTAGAAACCAAATGAAGGAAGCTCCCCCTGCCGCACTAAACTTCCTTGAAGAAGTGTGAGCTGTCCTGCGTCCATACTAATAGCTTAAGTAAGAACTAGCTACCTCTCCCTTACTTGATTAAGTAAGCGCCTACTTGGGGAGGGGGGAGCGGGCTTTAAAAAGAAAGGGATATTTTTCACATGGGAACAGCTTTTCAAACCATTCCGGCAAATTCCGAAACATGACTTAACAGCTAAGTCTCTGTGCGACGGCGACGCTTGTTCAACCACTGACTTTATGGGACAAAGTTTAGTAGTTACTGCAAATCTGACTTGAGTGTGGAACTCTGTGAAAAACGAGCTACAGCATGCCTGGATTCATTCCATCTAAGCTACAATCATATCCAAACAGACGTCGTCGTCGCAGGGGAAGCGGCAAGGGTCTCCAAGACCTCTTGGCACTTCAACCCGGGAAAGGCGGCTAAGCAATGGTATACCACAAACTTGGCACGGCACCAGTACGTCAAAGGAATCCAAGAAACCATTCAATGGCATGGCAAGGGCTAAGATAATCAATCTGAGACAATATAAGCCAGTTTTCCTTTTGTTTATTGTTGTCCGCAAAGACAAACAATGGGAATCCCCCGCAAGCTGGAACGATCTTGGAAGGGAGAGGGACTCAGCGCAAATGTTTTGGAAGCGCTTTTGGGGATGAGTGTTGGGAAGCGGCTCGATGATTCTCGAAACCGCCAAAGCTACTGCCAAAGCTATATCTAATGCAAAAAAGTTCAAGAGCCAAAAGGCACCATGTCAAAAGCCAAAGGTTGATAGCTGCAGCTGCAACCTGTGTATTTTTGCATGAAGGCTTCCCTTTTTCGTTGTCCAGCGATTTCCTTTATCACAACAAATTGGACTCCAAGATTTGGCATCAAGTTGCCAGCCCACTTGGATAAAAGTAGTACTAGACTTTAAGGAACCTAAATAGCGATGGCCTCCAACCTAGAGCGGTGACCTCCAACCTAGTAGCTCACACTTTAATACCAGTTACTGAACGTAACTGTCACGTTTACCTGGTTTACATCAGCTTACCCTTTCTCGCTTCAAGAAGGTATACCAGATGGATGCTCCGCTCACGGCACGTACATCATCTACCTGGACAGGCACACGCTGACATATGTCCATTCCGACCGGAATAGATTCCCCACCAAAAAAGGAAGTAAGCTTAGATGGTAAGGGCATTTTTAATAAGAGCCCTTGTTCAAAGTTCCCTTACTTTGTTCGTTTGACAAAGCTTGGATGTTCAATCTTGATGTTAATCCGAACCAGGCATCAGTTGTCCGGTGACAAAAGTCGAATACATACTACTTGAGAGCATCATTGAACAGTGTTCAGAAGAACAGGCAACTGATCCGAAGAAAAGAAAAGCGTGGTGCGCCAACAGCCTGAGCGCATCACACTTCGTCGTTCCACCAGCGCATGTCCGGTGGGATGCTGGCCTCACGAAACGGGAAAACTGCCGGGACACTCAAAACGGAAACAAGCTACTAGTAGTAGCAATGTTCGCTACTAGTAACAAGTGCATCGCTACTCGGAACAAGGGCCTTACTAGTAGTAGCAAGAAGCTATTAGAAACAAAAAGCTACTAGGAACAAAGGACGCTACTAGGGGCTCCTGGCCTTACTACTAGGAGCAAGGACGCTACTAAAAACAACTTTGAAGGAAACAAATATGAAATTGACTTCCCATTTCTATAGTTGAACGCTTCGATGAACGCTTCTATAGTCGGTGTGACCAACGCAACTCATCACGACTTGAGCGCGTGACCCGCAGGCATCGCTCCAGGCCAACGATGGAGTGGAAGATACGACCAGCCTCTTCAAAGGGATGGTCTTCGCCTTGACAAAATGGCAAAACCAAGTCTTCAAGAGGAATATCATGCTAGTAGGTTGGAGGCCATCGCAAGTAGGTTGGAGGCCATCGCAAGTAGGTTCGAAGCCATCGCAAGTAGGATGGATGGAGGCCATCGCTATTGGGTTGGAGGCCATCGCTATTAGAATGGAGGCCGTTGCTACTAGGTTGGAGGCCATCGCTTTTAGGTTGGAGGCCATCGCTAGTAGGATGGAGGCCATTGCTAGTAGGTTGGAGTCCATCGCTAGTAGGTTGGAGGCCATCGCTAGTTTGCTATTATGTTGGAGGCCATTGCTAGTGGGTTGGAGGCCATCACTAGTAGGTTGGAGGCCATCGCTAGTAGGTTGAAGGCCATTGCTAATAGTTTGGAGGCCATCGCTAGTAGGTTGAAGATTGCTATTAATTCGGTTGGAGGCCATCGCTATTAGGTTGGAGGCCATCGCTAGTAGGTTGGAGGGCATGCC